AACAGCAGGGAGCAAGCAGCTGTCTGAGTATGTTTTTACCAAAACATAAAGTGAACTGTGAGAAAAGATGAAAGTTTGTCACACCAGAAAGTCAGCTGTTGCTACCATTTTAAAAGTGCTTTTATTAAAAAGTAATTCTTCTGGCCCTCCCTGGTGGCACAGCGGGTTGAAGCGCTGAACTAGGAAGCTTAAGCCACTTCCGCATGAGTTCGATCCCTGCCTGCCGGGTAGATCCACATGGCGTGGCAGACCTCTCCTGACCCACCCGCTGCTCCCCTCAGCAGTGTATTTCGTGGATCTGCCTGTTCTGCTCCCCGCTCTGTCCATGGTGAATCCTCTCACCCTCCACATCTCTGGCCTGTACCCCTGTTCTGTATGAATAAATAAATAAATCTTTAAAAAAAAAAAAAAAGGTAATTCTTCCACACTCAGAAAGCCTTCAACATAGTATTTGCACAACTCTAAAACAATTTTAGTGCCTTTGCCCATTTCTCTTGGAAAATTAGTAAATGTATTAAGGTATGCTTTATGATTTTGCATACAATCCTGATTTGGACAAGAGCCTTTTGAAGTTATGGGGCAGCTCGAAAACAAATAATTTAATCCCTACTATTTCACTGCAGGAAAGGAAACCACTTTCCTTTTGTTTTTGTTTGGTCTTCTATCAGACTTCCAGAAAAATCCCACTTTTAATGAAAAAAAGAGGTAAATGTGACACACTCCAAATTACAATTTTAAGCATTCTGTGAAAAATGAAGTCTGTTCCTTTTCATTTCACACATTCTCAGAGTTCCTCTCAGATAATACTGTTTGTTATCCCATATGTAGCCATTCACGTGACCTCTGGAAAAAAGGGAAAAGGAAAATTGCTGTGGGTCAGGGAAGACAACCTTTACAGAAATGGTAAGTCTCCAAGGAGCTCCAAATCACGGGTTTCCCATGAAGCGATGGCAGGGATGTGTTCTGTATGGAGCTGGGTTTTCACATCACAGGCAGGATGGTGGGAGTGGTGTTCCCATCACTTTCAACCCCAGCCTGCGCCAGACACTGAGAAGATGAATCTATGCCAGGGAACATTGTTCCCGGTTTTGCTTCAGTATAGTTTGAAAGTCTTACAGCTCTAAAGTCTGGTGACTTTAGAAGTGTCTGTCAGGCAAAATTGGAACACATTTGTCTGTTCTCTGTAATGGTCTGTCCATCCCGAAGCTAATTGCAGCCTGCATTCTTGATCAAAAGCATTATTTTCATTAGCTTTATTTAAATAAACACCTATTTCCTGAAACACCTGTCATTTGCACAAAAAGTAAATAATTGTGAGAATTGAATGAATTAAAGCACCTCAGCTCAGAGACGGTTTTGTGGGAGGATAAAGCACAGCTGGTGACTTTTAGTGGGTACAATGAGACTAACTAGATAATTTAAAAACCAATTAGACAGAAGTACACACAAAAAAGTCACTCTTCAGTCAAAAGAAATATTTATCGGACTTCTGTTTTAGGTAAACTTCAAGATTTATTTCCCCTAAGCCTGGATTTAGGTGGAGACTGGACTTTTCAGGTACAACAGAAATCAAATACACAAGTGAATGCCACAAAATGGAGTTTTTGTTATGTCAGTGGCAAATAAACATTCTTTGAAAAGAAAATGGATTTTATACCTCATTCCTCTTAACCGCCTATATTAAAGCATTAAGCATGCTGCTGTAAGAGTCTGTGTAGAGGTAAATGTCCTTCCACATATATCAACTAGAAAGGCAGAAGCTGAAGGTGTGAATAAGTTTGCATCAGCACGGGCGTTGCATCAGCACGGGCCTACTCAGGCTCTGCTTCTACTAGAAGGCCGCTCAAACTAGGGGCTCCTTCTGCCCCCCTTTGCTGTAGATGAAATTACAGGCCCTCCGGATGGTGGGTGCAGAGTTGACCCTGGCCTTTCTGTAGTCCTCTAGTAATAGGTCTGAACAGCTCTGGGACAAGGTGAGGTAATGCTTACATTTCACGGCATCTAATTTTTGGTGCAGTAAACAGCAAAAAGAACTTGATAAACTGGAGACTCCTGGTGTACTACTGCATTGCCAAGGTCATCCCAGGACTTGGTATCCACTGGGCCTCAGTACACTGGGGCTCAACGTATGAAAATATTATATAATGAGTAGTGAGATAATAGAACTGAAGTCAGCCCTAAATAACAACAGGTCTTCCTTTGGTTGTTGTGGAAATAGTGGACATCTTTGTGAGGTTCTTGGGTAACAGGGGGCTGCTAACCAGGTGAGATGAAAGGAGTCGTATCCTCAATTTCCAGGGGCTACTGAGAAGCAAAACCCTAGAGGGGGCCTCGCAATACTCCCCAAGATTCTAAGAGACCTACAGCATTTAGAATCATCCAGAATGGCAGGTATGACCCTAAAGAGCTGCCTTGGGGAACCCTTCATCTCCCTTCCTTTTGCCCCCTACCAGTACTATCATGGCTGGAGAACCCTTCATCTCCCTTCCTTTTGCCCCCTACCAGTACTATCATGGCTGCCATTCAGCTTTCCCCATTCACTAGTGTCCAGGCACTGCTTGAATCCAGCTGCTGCCAATCTGTTTCTTATCTGTAGAGTTGGCTTTCCTACTTGCCACTGAGAATGTCCATCCTCCCAGCTCCTGGCTGCGAGAGCTGCCATGGGATGGGCTGCCCAGATGACTTGTGAAGCAGCCAGTCCTGAACAAGGAATCTCAGCTGAGACATAAATAAGGCAAACAGCAGCCCCATCACTTCTTGATTGTAAGTCCTTTGAACTATTAAAATGATAAACTGAAGCATATTAAAAATGTTGACTTTATTTGAGCAAAAATTCAGACTGAAATGGGCATCATCCAAGCTAGAAGATAGAAAGCAACTCTGAAGAGCTGTACAAATGGGAGACATTTATAGGTGGAAGGAAGTGGGAGCAAGGAAGTTTTATACTAGACAAAAAAATTAGGTTGGTCAAGACAAAACTACTTTCTTCTAAGGGATGGAAGACTACCTCACTAGTGCTCATCAGGTGATCCCTGATCATCAGGTTTAAGATCTTACTTCTGGGAGAACTGAATCTAATAAAGTCTTGGTTTTGTGACTTCATTTTAGGCTTGTTTTCTGTCTTTTTAATAATGCTTCTCTGCCCAATCACCTCTTCCCCTCCAAATCAAATTCCCCATGCATTGGGACCAGCTAATCTCTGGCCCAATTCCCAAATGTAGAGCAGATATCATGGAGTCAACTTCTGGGAACTGATCAAACTTCAAGGAATGTTTGGTAATCTCTCCCTGGCAGGGCCCGTGGTACCTCATTCCTGATGACGGTGTCCGGATGAGGGGAAGCTGCTGGCCCTCTGGTGTGCCCAACAGCTGCATCCTAGTGGTGTCTCATGGAATGCAATCAGGGCTAATGTTGGATTAATGTCTGTCCTGCCTCTGATACTGGTTCTCAACGGTGTGCATGTGGGTGGTGTTGTTTCTTTGAGACAGTTTTAGAAAGTATTTTTGGTAAAACACATAAAACATAAAATTTATCCTTTTAACCATTTTTAAGTATACAATTATCTACATTTACATTGTGATACAACTGTAGCCAATATAGATCTCCAGAAAATTTTCATCACCCCAAACTGCAACTCTATATCCATTAAACAAAAATTTCTCATATCCTCACCCCTCTGTGGGGGGTACATAACCAGAAAGGGAATTGATTGATCATATGGTGTTCTGTTTTCAATCTTTTGAGGAACTGCCAGTACTGCTTCTATTGCAGCTTCAAGGAATAGGTCTTCCCAATATTTTCAGAACAGGTATCACCAAGTCATGTCTCTGGTTTATTTCAAACTGAGGCCAATCAAGGCCTTATAGGTTCATGAGACACTTTTACCACCCTCTAACTATCCAGAAAAATGAAAATGTGGAAATATTTCAGACTCGGGATTTTCACCAACAGTAACTTTTCTATCAGAGAAACTTACCTATGTGGTAGGCAATCAAATAATTATGGCACCCCACTTTTCCTCATGACTGCCCCTCCTCCCTCCTTGAAGTCCTAGGCTCTACCCCCATTCCTTAGCCCAACATATAGAGGAACATTTTGTGCCACTGATTTTAGTACACACACCCGTGTAGCGCCACTGATTTTAGTACACACACCCGTGTAGTGTCTCCATATGTATGTCATTAAAAGTGTCTTTTCTCTTACCCATCTGTCTGATGTTAATGGATTGTTTGAGTAGTCCGAGAAGAACCCAAAGGGGCAGAGGGAAATGTCCTCTGTCCTTACAAGGGAACATTTTATGTTCCCACCGACATCTTCTCATTTGCAGATTTTTTTTTTTTTTTTTTGGAGATGGATTGAAGTCCTTTGCCTTTTTTTAAAAGATTTATTTATGCATACAGAACTGGGATACAGGCCAGAGGTGCAGGGGCAGTGAGAGGATTCACCCTCAGTGAGAGGGTGGGGAACAGGCCAACTGACCAAGTACCCTGCTGAGGGCAGCAGCAGGCAGGTCTGGAATGGTCTGCTGCGCCATGTGGGTCACCTCCGGGGCAGGCGGGGATCAGAACTCCCGCTGAAGTGGCTTTAGCTTCTCAGTGCTGTGCTTTAACCCGCTGTGCCACCAGGGAGGGCCCTTTTTAAATTGGGCTGTTTTGTTTCTGAGCTTGTTGCAGCCCGGAACCCACCGAGTGGTCTTTTCTTTGAGGGTAAAAGAACCACTCTGGGGTCAGATGCAGTTTGTCGCCCAAACTTCCCAGGTAGCTCATCCAGGGTTCCAGCCCGCGGCCTGCAATCCGCCCCCCCCCCCCCCACACACAAAGCACTGGGCTGCGCGGTAGCCCGCGCGCCCCCCGGACGCTCACTCCAGGTCTCCAGCCAGTGGGGGGAGGTGGGCCGCGCGCCCGACTCTAAAGTAAACACCCTGGAGCGGCGGCGAGCGGACGGACGGGTGCAGCGCCGCCGCCTGCCCCAGCCCGGGCGCTGTGGGACAGGTGGCAGCCATGGCCGAGGGAGTGCCGGCCTCCCCGTCGGGTGGCGCGGGCGGCCGGGGCCTGCACAGCTCCATCATCCAGTGGTGAGCGGCGGGGCGCCTCCCCACCGGGGCGGAGTTTCGAGGTCGGGGCCCGGGGGCGCTCCCGGCCCACGGCTAGGGAGCGGCTAGGAAGAGGTGGGGCAAGGAAAACGGGAAGCGAAGTTCTCCCTAGCGAAGCCCCAGGTCCCTGGGGCTGGAGCAGGCGATGGGGGGGTGTGGGTTTTCCATCTGGGGCTTCCCCGTGGGTCACGCTTCCTGGGGAAGCAATCCAGACTGCCCCCCACCGGGGGGCTTGTTGTTGGGCGGGCGCTGCCACATACATCAGAAAGCGCGTGGGCGGTGGCCTGGAGGGGAAATGTTTTCCCTTAGTTGGAGACCCAGAATGGGATGTTTTCTAACTTAAAGCAAAGCAATTTTTAGCTGTAACAATGCATTCCACATTGTTTGTGAAATTCACTTCTGGCTGTTTAAATAAGAGGCAGGAAAAACCGGAAAGAAAAATATCCTTAACCCGTGGGACTGGTGAATACACAGGCCTGTAGCGCTTCTTAAATAAGAAAATAATTGAAAACAGCCTAAGACTTAGTTTGAGACGGTGAATAGCTAGTAGATATCTGGTTCCCTTTTTGTTTTTTTAATTTTTAAAGAATATTTCACAGGAAACACTTTCTGAGAGTTAGGCGAATGGGGGAAAAAAATGAAGGGTGTGTTTGTGATTGTGATCTTAGAAATGCTAACTGGTTACTCTTTTTCTCCAAAGAGTTATTTTTAGATAGCGTTATCTTCCCAGGAGAAAGACATCAAAACAGTAAACACGGAGCAGGCACTGATTTCCTAATGCTACCCAGCCTTGTTTCTTAATCACTGCCTCAGATCCTTGCGTGATTAGTTCGTTAGGAAAACGGACTGATGATGCCTTTGTCGAGTAATTCAGGTCACCACTTAGTAAATTAATAGTATAGGGGTTTCCATCATGCTCCAGAGACTTGATAGAACGACTGGGGAGTGGTGAGGTGGGGAGGGGAAGAAGCCTGGACACCTTAAGGGTGTTTGTAAACTGACAGAATACAGACTCCATGCAGTGCTCTCTGCAGGTACCCTAAATCCCTTAGGGTGGTATACAGCATTTTAGGGGTGAGCCCAACTAGCTCAGTCCCGTGCGACAAGTTTCTGCTCCAGCAGACCTCTGACCTGAGGTGTGTGGAAATGGATGGAAGGATCCTTCTCTCCAAAGTAGGGCAGGTGGCGGGGCATTGAGGGTAAGGCAGCATGGCTACCTACCTAGGTCGACACTATAGGCATCCAGTCTAGAGGTGGAATGTCTTAACATTGGCATTAGGAACACAGCCCCAACCACTTCACACAAACGGGATGGCCATTGTCAAATAAACAAAATCAGAAAATAGCAAGTGTTGAGGGTGTGGAGAAATTAGAACTTGTTCATTGCTGGTGAGAATATAAAATATTGCAGTCATTGATGGTAGGAATATACAATATTGCAGTAAGGCACTTCTTTAAAAATTGGAAATGGGATTATCATGTGATTCAGCAATTCCAATTCTAGGTACATACCCCAAAGAACTGAAAATGTAACAGGGTGGTCCCCAGGAAAAGGGGAAGTTCCAGGTTCCCTGCCCCACCCAGAAGGAGGGTGGAGCCAAGCAGAGATAAAAGAGAGGCAAAGGAATCTGAAGAGAAGCAAGCAGGATGGAGAGGCAGGAGGAGACCTGAGGAAGTCACATGGAGCAGCAAGCATGTGATAAGAAAATGGGCTTGTTTCTTGGCCCTGGACTGGTTAAGGCAGATGTGGGTGAGAGACCTGTAGGGAGGTGACTATGGCAGTGTTTATATTGATTTTGATTTTGCTCTTTTCCTCCTAGATTTGTCTGGCCATTTCTGACCCTTTTCCATGGGTCCCTGCCAGAAGGTGCTTTAGTCTTGTGGCGGGCTTTCAAGTCTTGCTTTGGACCAATCTCTTTTGGGTGGATTTTTGCCCACGAGGGGATGGGTCACTTCAGGTGTTTGATTTAGAAGTTATATTCTTTGTGTTCTGTATTGTATATTCATTGCATTAAAGTCCCTTTTCATTAAAGTTTTATATGTTTTGTCTTGTGGGAGTGGATGGCAGAACCCACTTAGAGCAGGCAGATTTGGGGCTTCAGGGGTGCCCCTCTCTCCCTGCCCCGTAACAGATTCGGTGCCCTGTAACAAATGCAGGGAATGGAAGACATATTTATATATGCATATTCCAAGTAGCACTGTTCACACTAGCCAAAAGAAGTGACTCAAGTGTCCCTCAACAATGAATGGATAAACAAAATGTGGTTTATACAGATAGTATATATAGACTGATACTCAGTCTTAAAAAGGAGAAATTCTGATACATAATGCAGCATGGATGAACCTTGAAAACATTGAGCTACATGAGGTTAGTTACGAAAGAACAGATACTGTATGATTCTACTTATATGAACTACCTAGAGTAGTGAGATTCATAGAGATTGAAAATCAGATGGTGAGGAGACGGGTTTTTGTGTAATCAGTCCAGAATGTCAGCTCTGCAAGATGGAGTTCTAAAGAGGGCTGGTGGTGAGGGTTACACAACAATGTGAATGTGCTTAAAGCCACTGACTAGTACATTTCAAAATGGCAAAGAATGTAATGTATATTTTACCACAATTTAAAAAGTAAATCACTTTTAACACCTAAAACCACAGAACCCCGGGTCACCAGGGCACCTAGGGGAGCATGCACCTGGACCCAGGAGCAGCTGGGCAGTCGAAGATCCACCTGAACAGAGGCCAAGGGTGCTTCCTGCCACTTAGCTCTGTACCCAAGATGAAGTAAAGAACAATAAAGGCAAGCTACTTTGCCTCTTAGTATCTTGCATTCTACATCTTATTGCAATTTAAAGATTCAAAATATATTTGTCCATCTGAAAGCAGTCAGATTTAAAAACTATGCAAAATAACGGGAGGTAGAGAGGCCAGGAGGCAGAACTGTGTATGCCTGCCCTGGGTCTCAGGGGCTCTGGCACCCCTGCGGTCTCCTGCAGCGGTGAAGGACTCCATCTGGATATAATGTTTTGTGGATTAGTGAGTAAATAATTATCGTTTATAGTTATAGAGTTGTTGACTACAATGTTTATTAAAGGAAAGTGTCTGCTGAGCTCAATAATTTGAACTTATTTTTTAGTATGACTGCCTGACAAAAAATACTAACAAAAGTAACAACAAAAGTCCACCTTGTTGATTATCTAAAAGCTCACACTCAAAATACATAACACTCGGTTGACAACAAAAGCATGTATTATCGATAATGGTTGGTGGGCCTTTTCTGGCTTCCAATCAGTAAATTAGACTTAGTTCATTTAGATGAAATATTTGAATTGTGGTGAATTGGTGATCCTTGCCAAAATATTTGACTCTGAAAAATAAACGCCAGTTTCCTCTTCTTTCTCCTTCAGGTTGGTTGATAATTTCTGCATTTGCGAAGGATACAGCGTGCCTCGCTGCCTCATGTATGAGATTTATGTGGAAACCTGTGGACAGAATGCACAGAACCAAGTCAATCCAGCCACATTTGGAAAGGTAGGCTTTAAAATAAGAACACAGTATTCGCTGGGTAAAAATTACGCAGGTTAATTGATAAGGAAATGTTAGAATTTATTTGGGAGTTAATGGTTTCTCTCTGAGAAGCCACCAATGTATTTAACCTACGTCTCTGACATACTTCATCTGTACCAAAAAGCCACTTTGTTAGCTGCTATAGATGAAATCTCCCCCCACCCATCTGTGTTCTTGAGCTAATTGAGAAATCTAATTAATATCAGACAGATTAAGAGATGAAAAAAATTAAATTTTATACATATGAAAAATTTGCATAGATGGAGATTCTAAAATCAATGGGGGCGAAACAAGGGCCTATATTGTGAGCTAAAGAGTAATATGGGCTTAGGACTTCAAGGAAACAGAAGTGGGTCTCATCTGATGAGGAGAGGATGACTCCTGACAATACCATATGCTCTGTAATTGAGTGTTTACCCTGTTATGTAGATTTTCTCTCATAGAAAGTATTTCTTCTCTTTTTAAAAAAAAAAAAAAAGATTTACTTATTTGTGCATACAGAACTGGGGTACAGGCCAGAGGTGCAGGGGCAGTGAGAGGATTCACCAGAGACAGGGTGGGGAGCAGAACAGGCTGACTGACCAAGTACCCTGCTGAGGGGAGCAGCAGGTAGGTCAGGAGAGGTCTGCTGTGCCATGTGGTCACCTCTGGGGCAGGGATCAAACTCATGCTGAAGTGGCGTTAGCTTCTTAGGGCTGTGCTTTAACCAGCTGTGCCACCAAGGAAGGCCCTAGAAAGTTTATTTCTGATAAGAATTCTCATCCTGAGTAATACCCCCAATTTTCACTTTTCTGGGTAGTTAGGGGAATTTTCTTGTGAGCCTACAGCATCTCCGTTGACCTCAGCTCAGTACATTCCACTTACTGAACAGACATGTGCTGGGAAGAACTTCCCGAGCATCTTAGTGAGGGATGGGGCAGCAGTTAAGCGAATGGAACTGTGGCGGCTCCAAATACTCTTTGGGGAGCCTGTTTACTGGACCCTCATCCCCTGCATACAAATGATGACACTGTGCCCCACACAAGCCACTGTGGGGGTGTCAGAAAGTTGTTGGTTTCCATGCTTTGGTTGTTCTCAGAGCACTCATTGGCTCTTAAAAGATTTCCTCTGGAGATTAAGAGCTCTGTCAGGAACCTTATTTGAACTGTATAGTACCCAGCAAACAGGGCAAGGGCGAGCGAGCTGAAATGCTCTGCCTTCAGCAGGTAGTTACTGAGCAGCTGCTTTGTGCCAGGCGTTTTAGATGTTGGGGATACAAACATGGACATAGCAGACACATTTCATTCAGGGAGGCAGAAAAATACAATAAAATATATAGTATAGTGTATGATGTAAATATTTCTTTTTAAGAAACATGCAAGAACTGGGGTACAGGCCAGAGGTGTGGGGGTGGAGGAGAAGATTCACCAGAGACAAAGCAGGACAGGTAGACTGACTGAATGAAATACACTGCTGAGGGGGGCCGAGAACAAGACAGGAGAGGTCTGCTGCGCCATGTGGGTCAGCTCCCTGGCCAGGGATCAAACTCATGTTACAGTGGCTGGAGTTAACTCATGTGCCACCAAGGAGGCCTCTGGCTGTTATAAATATTAGGAGAAAAATAGAGCAGAAGGAGGTAAAGCCTCTGTGTGTGTGTGCATGCACATGTGTGTGTGTGTGTTTAGGAGAAGATTGTAACTTTAGGGAAGGAAATGAGGAGAGCTCTTGTTGAGAAGAAACATTTGAAGCAGACTTCCAAGAGACAGGAATCGAGTGTGTTAGCAGAGAGAGGTGCAGATGAGCCAGGGCCTCCCCTAGTCAGTAAGAAGCCTGCAATGGCTGAAGGCTATCTGGGAGAAAGTCCCAGGAGATCAAATCAGGGAGCAAAGGGGGGCCTGGAGTGCATAGTAGACAGGAATATAGCTATAAATGTGAGAAGGGGCCAGATTCTGGGTATATTTGGAAAATAGTGACAATAGGAAAACAATTCATAAAATCAAGGTATTTCATTATTAAGAACAGTAACTTCTGGTCATACAGAGCACCGTATTTCTTTTCAAGGCACTTTTCCATCTAGTGTTGAGAAACAGGCAGCCACTCAAAACAAGTTAGAAGGACAGTTTTTCAAGGAAAAGGGAGAGCCTTTCTGGTCCAACTGTAAAATGTTTGACAGAGCCTTATGGAATCTAGTCCAGCGCTGCCCAAAGGGATGTAATGGGAACTGTAGGTGTAATCTCAAATATTCTAATATCCTAATTTTAAAGAGTTTTTAAAAGGTGCAATTAACATTTGGTTAATTTAAATTTTTAAATTAAATTTTTATCCAGAATAATTAAAAACGCTATGTTATCATTTAAACTGGAATTAATATTTAATATTGAAATCAATAGTCAAAAATCGTTGAGTTTTTTTTTCACTCTTTTATGAGATATCTCCAAAGTCCAATGTTTATTTTACATGGACAGCCCATGTAATTGGGTCGTCAATTCAGACGACCCATATTTCAAATGCGCAGAAGCTACATGTGGCTGTGATTCTAAGTCAGCCAATTTCTCCTTTTCTCCTCCCTCTCCATACCTCTCTCCAAAAGCCACTGTCTTCCATGGCTTCCTGATTTCCCATGATGCTATCTTGCACATGTTCCCCATGGTGACATAGCTGACTGTCTGCCCCAATGCCCGGTACTGTAATAATCTGCAGGCAGGAGAGGCCCACGGGAAGGATGTGTGGGTTGCGAGGAAACAGTTGGCATTTTAATGCTCTGTCTCATGTCAGCTATTAGCTCACGCATGTAGAACTAGAGGTCGAGAAAACAAACCAGGAGTGATTAAGGTCGAGGGTGTCACAGCTGGTTGTCGTGCTTGGGTGGCAAATCCAGTCTCCTGAATCATGGGTCAGACTTCTTTCCAAAGTGACCTTAGATGTCATCTGCTCCAAAAGCATACCCAATGTAACATCCCTTCAAAAGCACCTCCATCTGGGAACTTGCCAAGAAAACAAAATGCCCTACCTGTCTCAGCCATGGGGCTGAGAGGTGTCTGGGGGCAGCATGTTTCCGTAAAGGGGAAGTTGCTCTTCCTCTGGGCAGAGTAATCCCACCCCAGGATCTTGGCAAGCAGAACACAGGCTGATGAAATCTTCCTCAGCTTCTCAACAGGGGCCTGGTGCAGCTCTCAGCCTGCACGAGCATCTAGCATACCCCTTGGGTTGCCAGCTGGTTTGGGTTGAATGATGAGTGTGACAAGACACATGCTTACCAGGCCATAGAGTTGCCAATTCAATCTATTTCTTTCCCTTTTCCCTCTCTTCTTTCCTTCTTTCTCTGTTTTAGGGGCTCTCCAAAGATAGAATTGGATTGGTCCAGGCATACTCTGATCACTGATTCATGCATGGCCTGATCCCTCCTGGTTATTTAATTTAACAATGTGATAAGCATCTATGAACCCACAACCCAAAATAAACCATATTGCCAGCTCCCTCATCCCATCATCCAATAAGCCAAAGGTAAACTTGGCACCTGCAGAGCATCAGATACTCTATAGTTGACCAGGTGTCTCTGAGTAAGGTTCCCCAGGCAGCCACGAATCCCTCTGCTATTGCGTCACTCAACTCACACCTGGTCATTCCACCACTCAGCGTATTAAGACATTTTCTCAAGGATTTTCTGAGTTCTGGGTATTCTGGCATTACAACTGTGTCTTTATCTGCCTACTTGGTGCACTTACAGATGGAAGAGGGGGGTGACTTTAGCTTGATATCCCTAAGACATCAAAGACTTTTTCAAAAAAATTTTTTTAGATTTTTTTCATAAGTTTTTCACCTCTTGGGCAGTGCCACTGCTAAGAATCCCAGAAAGCAGAGGGAGACCCCAGTGTGTGCATTTATTTTTAGCATTTTCTTCTCAGTACTTCTCTCAGAATTCATTTCTCAAGACAGTAAGTTACTAACTTTCAGTTCTCATTGGGAATTTGCCTGAGGAACCGGCTAGTTGAAGGGTTGGTATTGGAAGGCACCCTTGCTGCCTACATGGAGAAGGGAGAGAGGAAGGGGAAAAGGATATGATCCCAAAGCGTGTTTACAAGAGAACAACAAAATACCCAATTCTCATTTCCTCCCTCCTCCCTTGGGAATGGAGTTGATTTCAGATTCCACACCAAGTTCCTGTGCAGATGTTAGAATGTTTCTTGCTCTTTTTGGCAGGCACTGGCCTAGGATGGGTAACGCTCATTCCTGGTGCAACTGATATCTTCCATGGATGAGGGAATTTCCAAAACACTGACTTCCTCTTTGAAAATAACATTAGTGGTATTTTTGTGATTATAAAAGTAATACATTCCTCTATAGAGAATGTGGAAATTAGAGAAAAGTATAAAAAATACCTGTGATAGCCTCACTGCCCAGGGATGTAGCACAAAGGTACAGTTAGCTCATTTGTTTTCTCTCTCTTTCTCTCACACACACATGTGGTCACTCCTCCTCCTGTACACCTGAACAGTGAAGAACTGTCTCGTCACAAGAAATCCCCTTACACCTCCACCCATCACTCCTTACCTGATTGTGGGTGATGACCTTGAGATGAGGGCTTTTTAGAGTTTTCAAACCCAGTGTTAAGTCCCTTCCTAGAGAGTGTGTCTCACAATTCACTTTGCTGTCTATGGTCTGTTATCTTCATGCCTCATCCTGTTGTTAACAATACTACACAGAGAGATGGACTGAAAGACACGTAAATGGAAAGACAGACAAGTAGATAGATAGACACACAAAATAGACTGTGTCATATGGCAAAGTTTTTAACAGCACCAAGCCCAGAATCTTAGGTTATAATTCTGGGCAAGTTATTTAACCTTTTACCCCTGAACTTCATGACATGTAAAATCAGAATATTCACTAAAAACAAAATTAATAATAGTACTTAACTCATGAGATGCTTTTTTAAAATTATCTAGAAAACACATGTAAAGAACAGTGCCAGTACAACGGGAAATACCCAGGAGGCATCAACTTTATTTTGTGTGTCTATTTCCACCTAAAATATCATTAACATTTCCTATTAAAATACTTTAAGTGTGAAGGTGCCTAGTCATACCACCCCAAGATTCTTAAATCGGCTTCCTCAAGATAACCAGCTCTGGTATGCCAGGTATTTTGAGCTAAAGGCAATAAAATTTCTGGAGGTTGAAAAGATGCTCCTGAGAAGTGTACCCTTCCCTAATCTAAGATGGGACCATCACTCCCAAGCTTTTTTCCCTTTCCTAATCAAGGAAGCCATCACTGCTCCCCTTTTTGTGATCTAAAACAATGTCATTGGGGGGGTTCATCTAGGTGAAGTTTGTCTCTAAGCATGTTCTCGCCATCTGAGTAGCTCATCTTCACTTTGAGCATAAATTGTCATGTGACATCATCCTTCTCATCCTGTTGAACTCCCAGTTGCTGCAATTTGGAGTACTTACTCCTTTCTCTCCAACCTGCAATGGAATCCACATAACTGTGGCTTCTCAGTGTATGTTTTCCTTTCCTAACCCATCTGAAATTTTTTTGATTACTTGTCCAGTATGAGAAGAACCCAGAGGAAGAGAGATATTTCTCCTGCACTGACAAAGTGCATACTATGCAAAGCTATAAAATAATTTTTGGATGTTCTAGAATTCATTTAAACTTTTTCCCTTATTGGAAATATTGGTTGTTAATATTTTTTTTCTGTTTGAAATCACTAAGTCTCCAATTTTGTCAGGTAATTTCCCTGGGAGAATATCTAATAATTGTACCAATTCATATTCCTCATGGCAGTTCTTGGTATTCTTTTTTTTTTTTTTAAAGATTTATTTATTTATTTATTCATACAGAACTGGGGTACAGGCCAGAGATGTGGAGGGTGAGAGGATTCACCAGAGAGAGATCGGGGAGCAGAATAGGCAGATCGACGAAGCACACTGCTGAGGGGAGCAGCGGGCCGGTCAGGAGAGGTCTGCCGCGCCATGTGGTCACCTCCTGGGCAGGCAGGGATCAAACTCATGCGGAAGTGGCTTTAGCTTCTTAGTGCTGTACTTTAACCCTGATGCGCCACCAAGGAGGGCCGATTCTTGGTATTCTTACCCAAATCCATGCTATTCCTAGCCTAGAAAATTGTTGGATAAAAACTTTATTTCACTGTTTCAGCTTGCACTTACAAGATGATTAAGAAAGTACTTTAAAAAAAAAAAAGATGTATTTATTTATACATACAAGAACTGGGACTCAGGCCAGAGGCACAGGGGTGGTAAGAGGATCCACCAGAGACAGAGACAGAGTGGGGAGCAAAACAGGCAGATTGATGAAGTACAGTACTGAGGGCCGCAGTGGGTAAGACAGGAGAGATCTGCTGTGCCATGTGGGGCACCTCCTTGACCACAGAATGAACTCGAGTTGCAGTGGCTGTGGACAGCTTCACAGAGCTGCACTTTAACCCCCTGTGACACCGGGGAGGCCCCAAGGCAAGCACTTTTGCATCTGTTTTGATTATATGTATTTTGTGTGTATCAGGCCATTTTCTGTTAGGTGTTCATGTTTTCCATATTGATTTGTGTGAGCTCGCTATATATTAAGTATATTAATGTTTTGGAGTAATCATCTCTGTTGGTTTTTAAATTTTAACTGTGACTTACCTGGTTATAACATGAGATCACATGATAATTCCGGGGTTGGGAATAAGCAATGAAAGAGAATGTGCAGAGGATTGTGTTGTCAGATACTAGACATTCTATTTCTGCTTCACCTTCCAAGCAGCAGATTGTTTCCTCAGGCCTGCACGCAGAGTCTGCTGTATTCTAGATAGCAATTCCTTTAGCTACCTACTATTTTACAGCTAAACACACTGGGAAGATTTTAAGTGCTTTTCTTTTAAGCAAGAGGAGAGGACATTGTCAGAATCCTTTGTGGGAAGCAGGGAGTTCTGACTTTAGAAATACTGTGTTTAGACTTGGCTGAATTTTTTCTTTTATCTCCTGACATTTCTCTTTCATCTATACATTTTGTTTCTCCTTCCCTGAAGAGACCTCTCCACTTGCCCTGGCAGCCTCCGTGCTTAATTGTGGTGGATGGGCCTTCCCTCTGCCTTTATTTTGTCTCCTCCACATGTGGGTGACTTCCTGTAGGAAGGGATAGGGCCTGGAGCCAGACAAGAGAAATGTTTCACAACATTGTCAAAAACTGTGGCCTAGAAGCTAAGAAAAAAGAAGAAGAAGAAGGCTTCAAGAGGAAAGCAAGCAGAATGGTCAGTCGGGGTCTGAATGTTGACAGAGGGGATTGTGGAAAACAGCCAGATCCCTGCTTGGCGGCTTGGAACACCAGCCCTTCCTCGCTCTGTGTGTGCCTAGTTTCACAGGCTCTGAGGTCTCCACTTTCAACACAAATGTGAAACCACATTGTGGTGGGTGTCTTCTAATTAGAAAACTGGAAAAGATTTCTATTTGAAAATGTAATTGATCATGATATTCTACCAGGACTGTCTAATAAAATTACATCCAAAAGATGACTGGGAGATGAGAAATTGAACCAGAAGCAACTATGGTGTTCAGTATTCTAATAGCATTTGTTAACAAGACCTTGAAAATGGAAAAGAAAAAAAAAAGGTAAACAAAGGAATAAAAAATAAAATGATTCTCCTGTTGCAAAAGAGGGAAATAGTAAAATTATGGCACACTCACATGTTGGGCCCTGGGCAGCTGTTAGCAATCTGTCTTTAGAGAATTGTCGCTGACAAGGGGAGTGTTAATGGTAGTGGAAGGAAGAAAACAGGGTTGCAGACGTACAAATGTGCGGTGCTGGTTATTCTCCGATTGAGTGCAGAACACATACACAGACTGAGGCTTTCAAAGAAAGACTGGAAGGAACCTCACAAGTTTAAATGGCAGTTTCCTCTGAGTGGTGTATTTTCTTCTTCATACTTGTCTGATTTTTCCAAATCTAATTGACTACATTTTCCTCATCAGAAAAGAAGAAATACAATTTAAATATACTGGTGAGAAAGTTTTATTCCTATAAATTAGAGTTTCAACTTTCAACCTGGTTTATTCTTTTAGCTTGTGCGCTTGGTTTTCCCTGATCTTGGCACCCGGAGGCTGGGCACAAGAGGCAGTGCCAGGTAGGTTTAACATTTGTGCTTTATTTTAAGTGTTAAATACTTGTGGAGGGGGGGAATCACAAAATGGGTGACAAAGTAAAGCAAAACTAAACAAACTGCAAATATTACCAAAGAATTAAAATGGGGGTGGAGGAGGGCCCCAGACTATGGTGAGGGCATGAGGGTGATTTAGTGATGGGAAGCCCACGGGAATTACAACTGAGATGAAAAAGGCACAAATGGTGTAAAAATAAACTATATATTATTTTTAAGAAAGAATTAAAATGAAATTCCAGTGCTTGAAATAATTCAAGGTGATGCTTGAACCAAATATTAGCTTCTGCTCTCTTAGGTACTTTGTGCAAATTCAAGTCACCGTATATTTTTTGTTCAAGATATTATTTACGTGTTAATAAAGGTGAATGTCTAATTACTGAAATACTTAAATAATTACACACATAGAATAATAACACTGTTTTAATTACTCTTTGACCTCAAATATCTAAGTATGTATCTAATTAGCATATTTGAATTACGGTCAGGAGACTCTGTACCCAGGCTATATTTTTAACATTAAAGGAATTTTCAGGGTTATCAGGTGTATCATGCCATAAGTGTCACTCTGCTATGGTGCTATTTATTGCATGGTTCAAATCAAGAAAATTCTGGAGAAATCACCCAGTCAGGAAGTTAGTGAGAAGGGATGGAGCCAAGTTAGGGAAGGAGCTTGCCACCCATGAAGAGCTTCAAGGCAGTGGAAGAGTTTGCCAACCTAAACATTGGGCAATAATTAACTCGAAAAACTCTGTTCTGGGCCTCCCTGGTGGCCTGGGAGTTAAGTCTCAGCACCATCGTTACTATGGCCAGTAAGCTGACCCCCATGGCCAGTAAGCTGACCCCCATGGCCAGTAAGCTGACCCCCATGGCCTGGCAGACCTCCCCTGACCCCCCGCTGTCTCCCTCAGCAGTGCATTTCAGCAGATCTATCTGCTCTGCTCCCCAATCTGTCTCTGGTGAATTCTTTCACCCCCACCCTCTGCACCTCTGGCCTATACCCCAGTTCTTCTATAAGAAAAGTTAAAAAAAAAAAAAATTTTTGTTGCTCTGCAATTGGATAAACTGCTGCCATTTCCCTGGGCTCAGCAGAGAAGGAGCCCAGTTCTCAGTCCAGGGAACCCTGAGTCACTTCATTTCCCTTAAAAAGGTTAATCAATGATAGCAGCAACAGGAGGAGTTCCCTGTCCGATACCTTTAAGTTTAGTGTGTCCTTAGGGGAGGTGGGAGGGGAGAACAGAGATAGAAACATTCACAAACCCACTTCAAGGTTGATGCACATGAAATTGCCCACCTGAGAGAGCATCAGAGGCTGAGTGACTCATCTGATTTTCCTAACAAGTGAAGTCAATGACAGAATCCGGAAAGACACCCAAGTCTCCTTAGCTAGTCTGTCCTGTGTCCTGCACAAAGCATGTCAGTGGTTTGGCATAATCTTTAAGACCACCTTTATTTTTCAGGTATCATTATGATGGAATCTGTATCAAGAAAAGTTCTTTCTTCTATGGCCAGTATTGTTATCTGCTGGGTGAAAAAGGGTATCACAGGTTAGTAGCTATTATTTACGTATTTTGGTCATAGGTCACAGCCTGATGAATATTAAAGCTACCCATAATGTAGTTGAATCTGACTTTTTGGGTGTTCTGCCATTAATCCCTGAGGGTGAAGACACACGTGTCATACCAGCAGGCCTTTGACATGTGCGCTAAGCACCACTGGCCTAAGAAATGCATTTCTCTTCATTTCCGTGAGTGCTTTTCATATTCATTAGCTCTCCATTGCCAAAGCTGTTTTTCACTGAATGAATCTTCATTCTTCTCACTTCTCTGCAAAATTTGACATAATTGGTCATTTCTTGGTTGAAACTACCTTTAGCCCTTAAGACTCTGCATCATCTAATTTCTTTCCCCGAGGACCCATTTCTTAATCTTCTCACCTTTCCCCTCTCTGCCAGTGCAGGTTCGCCTCAGCCTCTCTTGGTCAGGGCAGTGCGGTCCCTACCCGTGGTCTTAGGCGCTTCACCCTCCTCATCTTCCTTCTACCTCTCCCTCTGGTGGGTGAGTTCTCCTCCTAAATCATTTTGCTGGTGCTCAGCTCTTCCAGCTCTTTAAGCAGCCCTGTCTGGCTCTCAAGTGGGCATTTGCCTTTACAGGATCCACTGGTGCTTCACACTTAGTACCGTTTGTAAAAAACCTTCAACTCTTCTCTGCCCCTTGTTTCAATCCTTGTCTCTGGCTTCCTTATTTCAATCTATAAAACCAATAGATAGAATCTGTACAAAGCATCACTCTGAAGCCATTCCTATGAATGCTTCCTCTTCAGTTGTTCTGAGTCACTCTTTTTGGTTACTATATTTCCTTGGAGACCTATCATCTTACATTATTTCCATGAATCCCACATGACATCCCTCTCCTCTTCTCTCCCTAAACACAGCTAGCAGGGTCTTCTCCATAAAATTCTGTATTTTCGGGCCCTCCCTGGTGGCACAAGGGTTAGGATGCAGCACTGCAAGATGGTGGCAGCTGCCTCAGTACGAGTTCTATCCCCCGCCCCAGAGGTGACCCACATGGTGCGGCAGACCCTTCCTGACCCACCCGCTGCTCCCCTCAGCAGTGTACTTCATTTATCTGCCTGTTCTGCTCCCCACTCTGTCTCTGGTGAAGTCTTTCACCATCCCTGCACCTCTGGCCTGTACCCCAGTTCTCTATGAATAAATAAATAAATCTTTTAAAAATTTTCTGTATTTTCTTTGTCTCCTTCCTGTTCACAAATATTCAGGTGCCTGCACTGTGAACCGCCCCCCTTGATAAAACTACCTGGCAGAGGCTGGAGTCATCAGTCTACTTTCTCCTCTTCTACTTTCCAACACATCAGCCTTTTTCTCCCCAACCTAAACCATCAATTTCAGCCATCTAGCTTTTCTCTGAATATATTGTGTGTGTCTCTGTTCCTACCATTCTCTCCTTCCAGGATGCCAGTCCTCCTGATCTTCTTTAATTAGACTTTCATGAATCCCGTCTCCTCCCTCCAGACCTACCTCAGGGGACACCTGCTCGGTGAGACTGCTTGTAGCAACACCAGCTCTTGCAAAGGCACCTTCCTCCACTCACTCACTCACAGCCTATCTGCCTATCTGCAGCCGGCATTTCTGTTTCATTCAGACTGTTCACTGAGTCTTCATTTGGCATTAATGGATGACTGTGCATCCAAGTAGCTAAGGACAGTTTTTTTTTAAAGATTTACTTATGTATACAGAGCTGGGGTACAGGCCAGAGGTGCAGGGGCGGTGAGAGGATTCACCAGAGACAGAGTGGGGAGCAGAACAGGCCGACTGACGAAGTACACTGCTGAGGGGAGCAGTGGGGAGGGAGAGGTCAGGAGAGGTCTGCCGCGCCATGTGGATCTCCTCCGGGGCAGGCGGGGATCCAACTCATGCTGAAATGGCTTTAACTTCTCAGTGCTGTGCTTTAACCCACTGCACCACCAGGGAGGGCCCCAGCTAAGGACAATGTTAGTTTTACGTGTAGCCCAACATAGTTATTAAGAGTGCCCCCTAAGTAGAGTTCAGTAGAGTTCTAAATGTAAGATTATCTGTCTATCTATCTAAATATCTATAATAGGCACATTTTATGATGTCCCTTTACGTAAGGCACCCAATATATAAGGCAGCTACTGAGGTAGAAAGATAAGCAACCTTCAATATGGATAAAGCATTGACTCATCTCTCTAATAGCTTTATAGGGGAGTTAGATACACATTTTCCTTAATATCAGCTGTGATGTTATAGGTCTCAGAAGTGTGTGGAAGTGCCCAGGAGAAGGCACAAGTGGAGAGCATACATCTTTAACAGCCTTTAGAGATTTTCTTTGAGAAATAAGAGGGTACCATCATCAGAACCTCTGCACAGGAACCCCCTGCTTTCTGTTCCTGGTGTCTAGTCAGGAAGCCCAGAATAGGTACTGAAATAGCTTCTGAAGAACTGAAAGTGGGGTTTAAAGTGACTAGTCTGGGAAGGGTCAGTGTGCCTGGAGATAGTTCTGGGGTTGCCAAAGGCATACAGACAGATGAGGGCTTTAGCCAAAAAGGAGGCAGGTCTGAAAGACCCCCCAAGAAGCAGGGCCCTTGGGTGATTGAGTCAGCAAAAGAAGGGAGCTGTTACAGGGCACCCCAATGTGAATTGGGTTGCCTGCCTGTGGGTCTTCACCCGTGCACTTACAATTCAATCGTATTATGGACACACTCAAAAGGTTAAATAATGGATTTATTTATAAGGAGAAAGGTAAAGGAATAGCCCAGGGAAAGAGGGAGAGAAACACAGGTTAACTAGGATGTCCTACCAGTTCTGCTGACTTGGACTCCACCGGTACGCTGAAAACCGATTGAGCGCCAAAACGATCAGCTGCGAACCACCAGGTCCCCCCAGAGCCCACATGTCTGGTTTTATCCCATCCTGGCTGCTCAGCTCCACCCTCACGTCCCAGCGTGCTTCTTCTTGGTACTGATGGGATTTGGAGTTCCCTGATGGGATTTGGAGTTTCAGCATCTGGAGTAGGGGCGGAGTCCATGAAACCTGTACCTGTTGCAAGACCAGCGCTTCCTCTTATATCTCTTATTCTTCCTTTGTCTCTTATTCCTCCTTTGCATTAACCAAAACCCAAGAAGTTTGAGAAGGCAGTAAATAAGACAAGAGATTTAGCTCAGTGGCAGTTAGAACTTTCCTTGTGCAATTGTGTTCTTTCACTGGCTAACCTTCATACTCGCAGGCTGGGCCAGACCATACATTTCTTTGTTTGCCGCAGAGAACCCAGCAGTTCCTCAGTCAGCAGACAGTTGGAAAACCCTGCACCAGTTAGGTGTGTGAGTGCGCATGTGCAGAGGTGCAGACCAGTGGGCAGGACTGGCACTCCACAGAGGGTAAGGCCATTCCTACTCTGGAGTCTCTGGGTTGATATCACAGAGAGAACTGCTCTGTATTAGGGGATCAAAAAGCTCCTCAGTGAGGAAGAAGAGGGCTGCCAAGGTACCAAGATAAGGACAGGGTGACCGTGGCTTATTCATGAGATAAAGCAGGCCCTTTTCAAGCACTCTACTTCAACACATATTTGATGATTGATAAACCCTAAAGTCTTGGCTAATTTTTTTTAAAACATTAAAATTGAAAGTTAACTTCCTTATCAGCGTCACGCTTCAAGAAATAACTAAATATGTATTTTAGGAGGCAGAAATATAATAAGTGATACACTATTAATAATCTGGGAACTGTACTGGTGACAACATTCTCTATTATATGACCTCTTTTACATAAGGGCCCGTGTGACAGATTTCTCTTCAAAATTCGGACTGAAAAACACCTCTCTGGTTTTCCAGTAACTCACCCTCTACTCATGTGTTTGTTCAGTCAACGAATAAAATAGAGTTCCCACAATGCATCAGGCCCTGGTTTAGCTACCAGCATTGAAGCACCAAGCGATCATCAAGGTCTCTCTTCTTTAGTTGGAGAGAAAAAGAGCAATAGCAAGATTTCGCTGCAGACCAAAAAAGAAAAAAAGAAAAAAGAAAAGTCATGGGACAGCTTCCCTGAGAGGATACCTTTTTAGCACAAATGTGCAGATAAAGGAGCAAGTCAGATGAAGCTGGGGGTGGGGGGCAAGCACTCCAGGCAATGCAAGGAGCACTTGCAAAGGGCCTGAGGCAGGAACAGTTCAAAGACCAGCATTTCAGCATGGGGTTGGAGGTTGGTGAATAAGCAGGAGAGTGAGGAGAGGAGAAAACACTGGCAGGGACCAGTAAGTCCTTAGAAGGAGGAGCTGTATTCTGAATGTCACCGGGAGTTCTGAAGCTGGGGAAGGGAAGCTCTGATCTGCATTTTATTTTATATATTTTTTAAAGATTTATTTATTTATGCATACAGAACTGGGGTACAAGCCAGAGATGCAGGGGCGGTGAGAGGATTCACCAGAGACAGAGTGGGGAGCAGAACATGTGGACTTATGATGTGCACTGCTGAGGGGAGCAGCGGGTGGGTCAGGAGAGGTCTGCTGGGCCATGTGGTCACCTCTGGGGCGGGAATCAAACTTGCACTCAAGTGGCTGCGTCTTGCTTGTAGTATTGCATCCTTACCCATCCTGCTACCAGGGAGGACCCTGATCTGCTATATTGAAGCTAAAAAAGGCCACAGAGAAGGGGCACAGTAACCATTTGGGAAGTGTTAGCAGCAGCCCAGGGAAATTCAGCCCATTGATATTTCTCACTAAAATAAATTTAATTCTCTCAGGAAGGCGGCTTGACACTATGGCATACTGTACATGGGTCCCAGTAGTACATGTGAGAGCAGAGGCCTGCGGCTACCACTAGGAAGCTGTGTGATCTTATTCAAGCCCCTCTGTGTCTTGGTTTCCTTATGCGGTAAACAAGGTTAATAAACAAGGTTAATAATATATTTCATAACAGTTCCTGTGAAGTTAAATTAATTTATACCAGGAAAATACTTAAAGCTTCATCCGGCTCTAGTAAACATTTAAAAAGGTTCCTAGGCATTGTGTTCTTG